TTGCTGACCATGTCATTCTACACATGATTGACAAGTCCACCATAGCTATGGCCTAATATGGCCAGTTAGACCCTGCTAGGACTTGTGGTGGATCGACATCCCTGTGAAGGACTTGGATAAGCCTGGAACCAGGGCCACCACCATGATGAAGATCCCTATGATCTTCCCGCATGAGCTGTTTCATTACCTTACTGAAGCTTGGGGGGGAAACAATTATTTAATGTTTTTGTTTTCTGTTCGAGTATTCACACGATAGGGTGGTGTTTTTTTGTATTTAAGGGTGCCTGAATGCCGAACATCGATCGAATCTGAGGAGTCCGGCAAGGTGCAGGTGGACCCCAATGAGATCCGGGCGTTCTGGCGCCACTGGCTGCAGTGCATGCCTCATCACGATGCTGCAGGCGCTGGACGACACAACCCGATCGGACTTTATGGGGATGACGCCAGATGGTCGCTGGCAGGGGCAAAGGTGGTGGCGTTGCTATGTAACCTGGTGTTGTATGACCGATCATGACCTTCGAACGCAAATTGGCCTTTTTTTATTGAATAAATATCATGAAACATCCCGTATACGTAGATATATCTATTTTTTGTGGGGTTGGTTGCACCAAAGTTGCCATCGTTCGAAATCCTCTTTTTGAGGCCTCGGGGATATACTTCGATTCATGAATTCGAATCATCTCGAGCTCGGGGTACGCTTTGATGGGTTGATCATGATCACTCTTTTCGGGTCTTGGGGATACCTCGAGAGCTTGGCTCAATTCTACCCTGAACTTTTGTTGGATGGTTTCACTACCCAAATCATGTTTCACATTTTGGGGTTGGGCAAACCCTATATATAGACTGTCTTTCTAGTGCAGCTTTTGGGGGCTGGGGAAACCTTCAAGGCCAACCCTCATATTAGAAGACTTGTTTGGGGCATGGCTCCAAGATTTAAACCCAAAATCAGGTTTTCGTGCTTAGGGCAAACCCGTGAACGTGTTTTATAGTGCAACGTTTCCGGGCGGGGGAAACCGGCCAACCCTCAAATTAGCTTATTATAAAAGGGGGATTGTAATTTGGGGTTGGGCAAACCCAGGAATGTGTTTAGTGCAACTTTTGGGGCTGATGAAAACAACATTGTGTATTGGTGGATGGTTTAAAACCACCAAATCACGTTTTACATTTTGGGGTTGAGCAAACCCAGCTGTGCAGGAGTTTGTTGCATGTGTACTGAGTGTACTGGAATCTACCCTGTTTACAATGTAGGGATCCCGGATCCAGTTGTGGGAAACCCAAGAAATTTCATTAATCCAAAGTTGGGTTGTGCAATCCCGGGAACATGTTTCTTCTTTTCGGGCTAGGGAATTTGAAACAATTAACATCCGACCCTGTAAGGTGTTGTGGGATGGTAGCTGGGAAGCTCAAATTTCAAATTGGGCAACCCCACAAACCTCCTTTATTTTGGGGCTGGGGAAACACTGCACTTTTCCAGGCCGACCTGTTTTGGGTTTGGGGGAGTAAACCTTAGCTGGCCATCACGTAGCCGTGCTTGGGGTTCATTTGTGGAAATAGGAGGCCCCTCAAAGTTTTTGGTGCCCGTTTTGGGTAGCCCTGCGTGCAGGCCGATGGATCGATCGCTCGATCGCCTAGGCTTGCCTCTGTCGCGGTTCGTGCTCTGCGTGCTGCGGCACGAGTACATCCTGGGGGTGCAGACGCTGGACCCGGTCTGGAGGACAATAGCGTGGTCACTTAACGTGATTTGGTGGCATCATGCGGGGCTCCCTGTTAAGGGAATAGTCACCAACATGCCATATGTGGGGTGTGAGATTATGATTATCACTCTAAATCGTCAAGTTTGTTGACAGAAGTTTGGAAATTCAAAACATGTACATGCTTGGCCTCATCGATCTAAGGTAGCCTACGGCGGAGTGTTCCCCTCTGTTGGACCTGCTGGCCAGCAGCTGGACTCTGCAAGGGGGCGGCGATCTGGCCGTCGCATTGCAGGAGGAGATATGTTGGTGCTTGAAACTAGGATTGTGTCCGACCATTGAGGTGATAGAAACTAGCAGTGCACTAAAAACACTGAACAAGTGTTGGAATTCTGCACTGGTCCCACAAGAATTGCACCATGGTATACCGCTGTTAAACAAACATGCCCTGTAGGCCCCTATGCACTTACCGAGTGCCGGGGGGACTGGAAGTGGCACAAGGAGTCATGGGACCTTCGTTACTGGTACCGGTACAATGCCGGCATCTGCTTCAAGTGCACTTGCACAATGAGGGGGGCCACTGCGCACCTTGCTTGTCAACATCACTCCATTGTTGTCTATAATTATTATCATGAACTCAAGGTGCCAAGCTCCGATTTTAATGTTGCTATAACTCGCCCGGCCGGTCGCCCCTTCGCGTCGCTCCTTGTGAGGTACTCGCACGTGGAGCGCATTGGCACCATGCCTCGGCTGACGGATGCGCAGTTCTTCCTGAGGGCTCTGAGTCTTGGTGATACACCCTCAAACGTGGTGGGTGACAAATTTGGGAGGTCCCAAAACTCGATCAAGTATAGGGCCCTATATTGGGTAAACGCCTTCGCCACAATTTGAGGGGGGATATATAATGTGCATCACATGTTAGCATAACATGTGTGTACGTGTATATTTATACAAATGTTATGCTGATAGTTTAAATTTCAGACAGCCTAGCATAATTTCCTCATTGCATAAATCTGGCATGCTACGTACTTGAGGAAAGACTACGTCCACCCAATCAGCATGGTGATTGGATTCCGGCCGCACATGCTGAAGTATTGCTCTATGCATTGTGTAAATCTGGGCATAGCCCAGTGGGCCAATGCATCCTGCATTCTGGCACTGGCTGAGATTAACTTTTTCGGGCAGGACAGCTTGGCGGTGCAGTTGGAAGTGCTGACGGTCAGATTCAAGAAGTGGTGCAGGCTTCACGGCATTCACCACTCGCAGGTTGTCATCACCGTTGGTATGATGCACTTGTCTGACGCCGCCTACCCCGAGCTGACACTGAAGGCCTACAATGGGCGCGTCATGGTCAGTTTTTTGGCCACGTGTTGCCAGGCGGCATGCGCGCAGGGGGCTGATCTGGGTTTGACCACTTCTGCAATGACACATCTGTCCAACTGGCTGCTCCTCATTGAGGGCCTGGGCAGATATCTTGAGCCTGGTGACGCCAACCATGTATACAACCTGGGCATGCAGCCACTTGCTGTCATTAATGTAACATATTAAGTGTTGGTAACAACTTTATATCTAGGTATACATGTACAAACATGTGCAGGGACTAGTCCCATGAATTTAACTATGCAGACACCACCTTGCAAGGAACTGGTTACGTTGGACATGGCTGAACTGTTTGTTTTTTGAGAGGGGACCGCTGAATGCAGGTGTGCACCCGGTTCTTGCAGGAGGGTTTAAATATTTCGGATAGCTATACTTCAAGGACCCATGTTCAATCAACCGGGGTACCAGGTCCCCCAGCTGTGCCCTTTTACCCTTTTGGGGCGGAGGGTTCCCCTATAGCTACACTAAAATAGAGTACAGAAAACAGGGTACCCTTATTCTAACCTTTGTACGGGAGGACCTAGTCAAGCTCAAGGTATGGTATAACCGGTACCGTACGTATACCCAAACCATCAAATTGTTGATCCCATCGTTAATGTCTAAAACTATTCAGGGACTATGGTCATAGGGGTTTCAGCCAGCTCAGCCAAGGTTCCTCGTCACCTACAAAGCGCTGGCCCGGCTCCACTTGCGGGCGAGCAGCAGGCGATGGCCGTGGAAGCCACGGCATCACGCGCCCCGGCTTGATGTGTGTGTGTGTGTGCACATGTACCATTTTGTTTAATGGTTGCAAATTTGGGTCAGGGAATACCACTGTTCGACAAAGTGGATCATGGTTAGCTGCAATCCCGAAACTTGTCCAGGGAAACCATCATTGGTGCCGTTCTTAAACCATCATTGTTGCCGTTTCTGCAATATGGCCGGACGCCTTCAAACCATCAGTGGTGCCGTGTTTTGCAATATGGCCGGACCCCTTGCTTCAAACCATCATTGGTGCCGTGTTTTTGCAATAGCGGGACCCCTTATAATTAAGCTTCAACCCATCATTGGTGCCGTTTTTTGTGGCCGGACCTCTTAAACCATCATTGTTGCTGTTTTTTTGCAATATGGCCGGGCTTCAACTGCCCTTTTGATTTTATGTTCTTCTTCAGGCTTTTAAAGTCTGCAACAAGTGTGTGGGCACCCTTTTGCTATGTATGCTAAGGCATTTGCCGAGATTCTGTATGAGGCAAAGGTCTTCCGGTACAACCCCAGGGCAAACCATTGCTTTCTGGATGAAGATTGCATGGGGGTTGTGAAACAGCTGTGCCGCAGAGTACATCGCATCTTGCAAGATTGGCATCATTGATTTGTGAATTTGGGGTGGTGGTATATTTCTGTGAAATGTAGTCATGTTTATCTTTGAGTTTTTAGTGGTGAATTCATATATTAACCCACATCGATCTGAGAACATCCCATTTCTGTGTACATGTTGTGGCATATCTGCATATTGCAATACCCAGGTCGACTTCTAGAAGTACGCGTGATGGCGAGATGGATGATTAGGCTCATGTGTCAACGGCGGTAGCTGTACAAAGTGCGCGACGGCGGAGCGGGCCAGTTTGTCGAAAAACATGCGCTATCGAATGTGGTCTCCCACAACCCACGGACCCCAAATTTCAACATCGGGTGTGTGGGTGGGGCACGCTGGTTAATGTAGGTCATAGTTACCCACGCCTGAGCCTGAGGGGAGGGTACCATTCTGGTTACTTGGTTGACGTTGGAAGGGGAGCAACACATCAACTTTTAGCAGTTCGGTGGGGATTCCCACTAAACCACAATAAGCAAAAATGATCAAAATGTTTCCCAACAACCATGGTTAGGGGCTCAGGCCCCCCCCCTCCACCCAAGAAACCACCACCCCAATGTGGTAAGCTTTGGGTGCCCGGCCCGTGCCAAGGCCTGCCATTTCCTGAGCCCGATGCCAGGCGTGCCAGGCCATCTGCCCAACAGGGACATGGGACATAAAGAACTTTTCGCACCTTTTTGGGACCTTGACACTTGAAGTCCACCAAAGACAAAACCAAAAGTGGTCAAAAGGTCGATTCCATTCGATTCCCCTTGCGCAAACAAAGCCATAATCAGGTTCTAGCATCCCATGGCAAAACCTAGAGGCCAAAAAACACACACGGTTACCTGCCACGGTGGCAACTGGATCAACTGAGCGTGTGGGGTTCTTGGTCTCACTTCCTGAGGCTGAGAAATTTCCATCCAAGGTGTGTTGGGCGAGGCCGTTGGCCAAACGGACGTTCAAACTCTTTGTTTGCTAGAAGTGTCTTCCCGAAAAAGGTAGGAAACATCCACAAACTCGAGGAGTGATGAAAACCTGAGTGGCCATGGAAAAACAGAGATCATTGTTTTGTAGTTGGTGCTGAAGGGAACCTCCTCCACAATAAAAGGAGGAACAAATAAGGAAGCAACCCATCGACATTTTGGGAATAGACACCCCAAGTTGGCCAAATTCCCGGCCAAGTCTCGCCGAAATCGATGTAAATGTCCTCAGCTTGGCGCTTGGCGGACGTGCCGAAATCCGGTCACCTCACCCCCACCGTGGATGGTTGCGAAATCCATTTCGCACCACATTTCAGAAACCCTGGAATGATATGCTTCCCCTGGGGAACTTCCAACAAACAATGGTTTGAGCCATTGGTTGACACCAACCTACAGGTGTGTCTCAGCTGTGGGGGAGGGGAAACTTGCTGCAGAATGGAGGGTGTCAAACTCGTGGGCCCAGCATTTGAAGGGTGCAAAGGAAAATTGACAGTCAACCAACCCCCTCACCCCAACGGCCGCCGTTTTACCCCCGAATCAAGCATACAAAGGCATGACAGCATCCTCACTTGTCTTTGGGAAATATGTCCCATCTTGAAAAATATCCAAACGAGAAGACCCATCTAAAAGTGGGAAATATCAGAAACCCAAGTTCCTCACTTCCCAAGCGGATGGGCCAAAAAAAGTCTGAAACATCGTATTTACCACTAGAATGGTCCAACCCCAAAAGTGACAAAGTCCGAAAAATGGAACTGGGGGAATGAGCCTTTGGGTGGTACTTCTGGCGCTTCCAAGGGTTCAAAGACCTTACTGCTAGGGTCCCAGAAGCCATATTTCAGGTCCTTGGGGGTAGGCCTGAAGGTTCCAAGAAAACTTAACAGGGATCCTTACATTATACACCTGAACATTGCCCTGTAAATGGTGGGTGTCCCTTTATCTTGGTGGAAAAAGCTATGCTTCAAATGGGCAAAATGTATCTTTTAAGGAGCCCTGCTTAGGGATACCATGGCTGTGGGTCAAGAATATGGACCCTGTCCCCTGAAGGTTTAATTATGACCCAGGTCTTTGGGGATAGGCCTGAAGGTACAAAAAACCCACATGGAGGTCTCCGAGCGTCGAAGTGCTGGGAGCAATCCTCCACCGCCGCCGCGGGCAAGCCGTGCAGCTGTGCAGTGGCCAAGCGCTCGACGTCGCCCAGCAGCAAAACGTCCGTGTCCAGGTAGACCAGCCTGGCAGACCCAATCAGCCGCTGCTACTGATGGCTGAAATTCGGACCCCAGCAAAAAAAGGTTTGATTTCTTTTTCCTGGCGAGTGGAAAGCAAAGGGGACCCCAGAAAAGCAACAACAGCCCAAAAGGGGAGCTAATTCTGTTGCGAAACCTAGAAATCGCGCCGAACTCAGAAACCCATCGGAATGATACGATTCCCCAACGTAAATACCGACAAGCGTCATGGCTTCATTCCTGTGGTTTCATTTCGTGGTGCGTAATGGATGTCGCAAGCATCCACAGAAGGGGAATTAGGGAGGGTCACAAAAGCCTCGGCCCGACTGCTTACTTTCCCTCTAAGCTGTACCCTGCCCCTCTAACATGTGCCCAGCACTGAAATAAGCCTAGGTGGTATCCCCATAGAGCCACTCCAAACCAAGGTGGAGCCGAATCGGTGGTTTGGAGGGAGTGGTTTCCCATTTGCCAAGAACCAGGGCTTCAAACCCCCAAGCTGCCAATTCAAAGCACCAACCAAGGGTCATCTGACCAAAGCCTGTTGACTCCAACTGAATATCCTTTGGACTTCCTCTAGGTACCGTTGGTTGACCTGGCCCCAGAGTAGGATCCATCTACAGAATGTTTGCCAAACACTCGCCAATCACCAAGAAAAAGAAGTTGGGCAAATGTATGCGCATTTCTTTAGTGGTAGGGGGGCTGGGATGACCCTTCATACGCCCCATTGAGTGGGAGGGTAAACTCTTGCTGCCCGTGTTGCAGTGTGGTGCTAAGCCTTGCCTCATATTTTTTCTTTTAGTGGTAGGGGGGGTTACCAAGAGAAACAGTACGACAGCCTGTGCCCGGAGGCTGTGACCCATTGTTCTTTGAGACACTGCCTGTAGCTTTTTTTTTCTGCAAATTTCTCATCGGCCAACCTTTGTGGGGATGCAAAATAAGCATTTGGGCATATTTGGTGGGTCCAATTCAATTAAACGGGTGGTTTGCCATCGACATTCGAGGTGTTAAATAGGGGGCCTGAAAAAGACACCGCTACAGCCATCCCCTTTTCGCTGCTGGCAACGGATTTCGATGCCCACCACGAGAAAAAAACACTTGGCCCATAATTGGAGAATGTCTCCTTTAGTGGGGATTCACTTATGGAGGGAACCACGCCTTCTGGACGCCAAACTGGTAAGCAAAGGGGGTTTGTTGACTTTGCCACCCTTGGTACGGACGCAGCCAAACAATTTGCAGTCCACTCAAACTGAACAGAGCCAAGGGGAACAAAAGTAAACACCAACAAACATGCCAACAACAGTGAAGTTGATGTTCTCCGTCCCCCAAGACCAGGGGTTTTAGCCCAAAGCTGAGCCTCCCCGCCTCTTTGGCAAAGCATGGTCTGACTGTGCCAAGAACTCCTCGCCGGCCCGGCCGCTTTGTTTCGCCCATGTTCTTTTGGCTTTTGGCGGAAACTGCCAAAGCAGGTCTCACTTGAGTGGCTTGGCAAAAGAAGTTCAAACTTGTTTGTTTCTCACCAAAAAGTCAAGAAAGTCCGGGAACTCCGGGAGTGAGCCAAAGCATCGTGCTTCTTTGGGATCACTTTCCAACTTGAACAGGGCACTCCGGAAAAAGTATATACACTTAAACTTTCAAAGGAACCAACGAGCGGCGTCCAACTAAATACAACCAGTTGCCCAAGGATGTTAGAAAGAGGACACCGCGTCTTGGTGCCCCATGTGGAACAAAATGCAAAAGGTGATGTTCAGGTGTGTCTGAAAGCAGGGATCCTAAAAATGGGTGGTTTTCCCTTTGCCTTTCAAACCACCCCAAGAAGGATATCATCAAATGACACATCGATTATCCTCTTTTTTCAAACCTGAAAAGGACGTTGGACCTCGGTCGCCTCTTCCCCCAGGACCCCAAGATGGGACCAGGGCCCAAGAAAACGATCCGATGGCCGGGGCCTTTTGTAAGTCCCAAGGGTCAAACTTTTGCCGCGGGAGAAAGCTTGCCCCTTCAAAATCCGTCCAACCCCCCCACCCCCGAAAGAAATACACAAAATACATCTGATCCGCCAACCCTCTGCCTCCCGTCCCAGCCTCCTGCAGAGGGGACCGGCGTGGGATGCAACTGGAAGTGATTGGAATCAATGATGGTCCATGGGGGAGCCTGAAAGCACAAAAAGTGGATTCCCAGGACCAGTCCCGGGACCCGGTCCTGAGACCAGTCCTGGGACTGGGACTGGTCCTGGGACTGGTCCCAGGACCAGCCAGGACGGGTTTGGTCTGGACCGGTCCCAGTCCCGGCCAGGACCGCTTTCAGAACTAGCCAGTCCCGGGATCGAGTCCTGGTGTGACCGCTGGTATCGGATCCCACTTCAAACTGCTCTGATCCTCAAACTGCTCCACACACCTGTTTCCTCCAATGTCGCTGTTTCCAGACTGGTTCAGGACACTGGACAGGGTCCCAAGTCCCAGTCCCTCCCTGGCCTTGTTTCTAGGACCAGCTCAACGTGACTTGGGCACAAACCGGCGCGTGCGGTTATTGACGGACGAGCTGCCATCTGTCTGACTTTTCCGTTAATCCTTGTGGTAGTAGGGATCCCTGGATCTGTTCTGCAAGAGAGTCCAACACGTCGAGTCAAACCGCGCCAGACTGGGACCAGCCTGGACAGGGTCCCAAGTCCCGGTCCCTGCCGGCGACCGGTCCAGGGCACAGTTTCGGGAGGGCCAGTTTCAGGGCGACCCCGGGAGAGGCGACTGCTCCCGGGCCAACTCGCAAGCCGGCCCAAGCGGTAATTAACGGACTAGCTGCCATATTTCGGACTTTTCCGTTAATCCTTGTTTGTGGTCGTAGAGGATCTTATAAGTGGTCCCTGGGTTTGCTAATGCGCCGAGGGTCGGCGGCAGCAGGCGGGAGCCTGGTTAATCCGGCTACGCCTCCTTGGGGTAGCATGTCGCCGCTAGGCAATTAGCCTGCTAGCTTTAGCTATAGGGGGTGCACCCTGGTGCCGCCGACCCTCGCCACTTGGTCGTGATGCGCTGCCTAAATCCGGCACCTCTGCATCACCAGCTCGGGCTTGCGGTTTTGCTTGCCTGCGGGAAACCCTCGCAAAACATCGCGTATAGGCAGGGTTTAGGCCATGTGGCTGACATCATCAGGGTCTGGGGTTGGGCCTGGGTGATGCTTCAGCGGGGCTTGGTCTGCATCATCAAGACTTCCTTCCAAAAAGCCTCTCCACCCAAAAAGCACTGTTTTCAAGTAGGTGTCGGAGGGGTAAAAGCGAGGCTCATTTTTGCGCATTTTGGCGCCAAGCGCTGCCGGGCATGCCGGCGATGCTGGGTCCTCGCTCTACAAAACGCTGTAAATACCGCCAAAAACTGCTGTGCTGAGCGTTGGGCTGTTGTTCTGTCCGTTTTGCTTTTGCTGTGGCTGGCTCGCGTGCTGCGCGGCCCTTGCTTTTTTCGCGTTGTTTTTCGGGCCTTCTGGCGCGCGCGCGCGCGACCCCAGCCACAAAACGCTGCTATTTACAGTGTTTTGTTGCATTTGCGTTTCCGGCCTGGCTTGCGGGCTGCTCTTTTTGGGCTGCTTTTTTTGGGTCCTCTGGCGCGCGCGCGCGCGCGGCCCCATGTCAGCCTTCTGGGTTGGGGCCTGGATGGGGCCCAGAAAGCCGGCATCCCCGGTATTATCTGGGTAACCTAACCAGCCATATCATAGCACACGCTACGTTTCTCATGCAAAAACCAGGACATGACCTGGTATAACTTCAAAGAGGCGTAGCCGGCTAGAGGCCGCAGGCCCAGAAAACAAACACAAAAAATAATATTAAATAATAACCTAGTAATAAAATAAACACCAAAAACTTTGCAAGGAATTGAATCCGTTGAAATCAGGCTTTCTGAGATAGGTCTTGGACGAGCGATCGAACCCCCGTCCTCCAGGTAGAAAGGCGCGAAGTTGAAGGCGCTCGCGAGGCCCTTCCGCGCCCCAGAGCTCTTTCGGTAGCTGATCTGGCCTCGAATGAGCTGAAGACCTTGTGGCGTTTTAAGCATCCCCAACCATTGGTCTCTTTTTTTGCACAACACCCGTTGCACATGGTGTTTTTGCTGAACACACGGTTTCATCTAAAAAAAGAAAGAACAAGAAAGACAACTACATTTCTTTGGGACATGAGCCAAAAGGTAAAAATGGAAGCCAACACAGCGGCTTCCTCGCGCACGCACTGTGGGGAAAAGGCTCGACAGGTCAGATGCGCATCGTGGTCTCCGCACCCGCCATGTCTCAGCCCAAGGGATGCCGAAATAAGAAGGTCACTTTGGGGCCACAAAAACATGGAAACCAAAAAGGGGAAACGCAAACATCAAAAGATCGAGTCGCTTTGAGCAACTAAGGTGTGTGGGGTAAAACTTTCGAAATCTGGCGACAAACAGCTCAAAGTTTGCCTGATCACCACGGAAGGTGATTGGGAATGCTGAATCCTTCTGGATACCTTCACCTTTCGTACCTTGGCAGCTACAAACAACTGGTGAACCATGTCAATCGACACCTCTGGGAACATGACGGTGTCTCAAAAAAGCGCAAAGCTTACCAACATGTGCATAACCTTTTAGGATGTTGTTGAAATCACCCAAAGGGTACCCTGAAAAAAAAACGGTGAGCCCATATCCCGCATTTTTCGCCTTTGCAGGCAGGTTTGTGGCAGCGGGCAGATGTGGACGGGAGGGTTCCCTAAATGTCCTTCATTGAAAAATCAACATTACCTGTCGGGAAGGCCAATTTGAAGTGGGTCTCCTTTGAGGTTTCAAAAGGAATTGTAGGCAACCCTTTGGCAATGGGAACGTTCAGTGGGGGAGTGGGATGCGGAATGCAACAGGTGCTTGATCCGGGGCCTGCCGTTGCATGGACCTCTACATGCGGACCGTTCAGGTTGAAGGTGGTGGGGACAGACTTGAGAGTCATCAGGGAGTTGTTAAAGCACAACCCACCCTCCGAACTTGGTTGCTGTGGACCCCTCTGCAACAAGCGAACATAACTTTCTGTGGCTTCAATTTGGAAAACCAACTTGATTTCAACCCCAAAGGTTAAAAGTCTGAAGATCCCTTCTCCCAATCGCAAGTCCAGCAAAGACTGCCAGGACTTCCGGAGGCCCAAAACCCAAGCTTCCAAGCTCCCGACCTCCGTTTGCTTAAGCCCCTGCAAAAAATATAAGCAAAACATATTTGCCATAGTGAAACCGCTTCCCTTTAAAACCACCAGTGAAAAACACGCACCATCACGCACATATTCATGTAAACGCACATGGAAGCGCCGATGTCCGGATCGATCGACGCGCGCTGGTTGAGGGGCCCTTGATCCGCTTCTGCAAACTAACGCTGGAGTGGACCTGCAGCTGGCGCCGCAGCACTGGCAGCACCTCCTTCAGCACCTGCGGGCTCGAGCCGCCGAATCGCCGAATGGATCCATCCGTTTGACCGGAGAAAATGGGAATGGCCCAAAAAGGTGTGCCAAAATGGCACCTTGGTCAATGGAGCCATGACTCAAACCTGCGTAACCCTGGCTCTTTCGATGGGTGTGTGCCTTTTGGCCTTCAAGCTTTAAAACCAAATGAGGCAATTTTAAGACACAACCTCCTGCACCAGTCGGGATGGGGCCATCCGCACTCCTGACATGCCAATAGGTTCCAGTTGACAACCATAACGAAATCACCCAGAGCATGTGGACAGAATCCACTTTGCACCAATCGGGATGGATGCTGAACCACCTATGTATATATGCGTACCCAGGTACTGCGGCGTTTTCTGACAAACACCTGCATCTGCCAGAGCACTCATTTTTCAGACCCTCTTTCTGCATCTGTCAAAGCCTCTCATCTGCTAAAACCGGACCATACTACAACCAAGCACTATGCTGGCATAAGAGCATCTTTTCCAAAAACTAAAAGAAACTAAACAAAACTGAAAAAGAACAATATCTATATATATATATATAACAACAACAACAACAACTGAAAAACCAAGATGGCTGAGGGGGGGGGGCAGCCCTCATGTCCCCCAGAACCCTTGGTTTTTCCGTTTTCAAATTTTCATTTTTCCTTTTTTTTAGTTTATATTTTTTCTCATGTGTTCAGTCTTCCTGCGTCTGAGCAGAACCGAGCCCACATTTGAAGCTGTCTGGCTCAGTGCTTCCTTGCTCCCTCTTCTGCCCCTTGTTCTGCTCCTGTCTTGATGACCTCAAGAACGCATGCGATGCTTACGTCTGCAGAAGCATGCCTCCACCCTTTGTGTCCTCCTCATTGGCAGTTGGCATCTTCAACCACGTCAATTTCCCCATGTCGGAGGAAAGCGACTACATCCAGCACATCACGTTCGGTGACTTCAGGAAGATGGTCCGGTCTAGCGTTGAGGGAGACGCATCTGGCGCAGATGTGGATGCAATCTTCAAGCAGGCATGATTCATCCTCAACACCAAGAAGTTCGTGCACTACCGCCCTTCTAGAGTTGACGAGGACAAGGTGGCACGCCGTTTTGAGGAAAGCCCGGACTTTCTCACACAGACAGGAAAGATGCTGTATGGCACGTACAAGGACAACTGCAAGACATTGCCCGAGAATTTCGAGGAGGAGGTGTGCAAAGAGCAAGCCTGGCTTGAGCTTGTCTTCAAGCAGAAGCAAGAGAAGCAGGACGCCAAGTACAAGCAGAACCGGCAGCTGAGGCAGCTATTCGTGGGTGTGAGGAAGACAAGTCCTGCCTCGAGCAGGAGATCGAGGAAGCCTGGGCGGACGAGGCCTTGAAGAAGACCAAGGTGTGGAGCACAGAAGCCAACAGGACTTTCATCGTCTTGGATGACGGGGATAACACGGAGGCCGACATGGTGCAGGAGGCTGAGGAGGAAGAGTCAAAGCATGAGGAGAACCCCCTCGGTCATGGCAGCTTCGAGTGAGCATTTTGCAAGAAGGCGTGGGTTCTAACTGTGGTGTATTCGCACAGTTTGTATGAGACAGTGGCTACCTCCAATGGTACGCATGCACAAACTAGTGTGCGCTTGACACATATAGCACAGGGGCTATTTGGTTAATTAACACAGACTGCGCACGGCTCTCGTCAGGAAAAAGGCGCTTGCATTTGCAGCCTGCACAGCGCCCGTGCCTGTGAAAAAAGAATTGTCACGCACTCCCTCACACGCACATGCTTTCAGGTCTTTTGGCTTTCTACGCATGCTGCTTATCCTACTCCTACTTCCCGATGTTGGCTAGGTTCAACCCTTTCCCTGATCCGAAGAAGAGCAAAGGCCGCACACTGAAGAAGAACAAGACGTGGGATGCTGTGAAGTACACCAGGACAACTTCACAGGCAGCTGGGCCTGGCGGGCAGCGTCCATGGGTCTTTGACACAGCTACGCCCTGAAGGCGGACCGCATCATCCCAAAGTGGGAAGGCAAGGTGTGCGCTGTGAGAAGGGCACCTTGTCGGGCTGAAGGTCGATGCTGGCACAGGCATGCCAAAGCACCGGTGCTCCCGTTGAAAATGCCGTGTCTAGACCGCAGCACCTGCGCCCTTTTCGTGGATGGCCATGGCGCTTCTGCACAGTCCTTGCAGACACAGGCAGCCCTCCTCATGTTGAAGCTCAACAACATTTCCAACCCTGTGGTCCATCGTCTTCTTCATGTCAACCACAACATGATCGAGGACCTTCACAAGAGGCTGTGTCATGCTCGCAAAACATGGGTGGAGGCAACGGAGAAGGACATCGTCTTTGGCAAGGGACAGAAGTGGGCGGATGTTGAGGTGGACGAGACAACCTTCGATCGCATGGACCTTGGGAACGCAACCCCTGACCCCGCAAACCCGGTGGTTTGGGAGCAGTAGTTTGGTATAGTCCAACGAGGCCACCCGAAGACACTTGAGCAGGCTGTCCCCCAAGGAGTCGGCCAAGAGAGCTCCCGGGCCTGGCGCCATCAGAAAGGTAGAGCGGACCCCTTTGGCAAAGAAGTGGTTGCAGGACAAGAAGGTGATTATGCACACTGACTCGGCCAAGAGCTACAAGACCAAGGTGCCTGGGATGCTCCACGACAAGGTGGGGCCAAAGTCAAGGGCCAATGGAAGTGGACGGCCCCGATCTATGTGAAGCTCGTGAAGCATAAGAAGATGACCGTGAAGTCTGGGACACAGGTGGTTGATCGAGCCTGGAAGTATTTGAAGGAGAGGTTGACCATCAACCAGGGTGCTAAGGTAGGGTCTTCTTTGTTGCGAGCAAAGCTCCGTTCTGCACAGTACCAATACTGGTATACGAACCATGATTTGTGGGTTGCATCTGGGACACTGTGCAATGGCTGATGTCTAAGTTCATCAAAAAGCCTTCCCAGTGAGTTTGATGTTTCTTGGGGCACTGGCTCAAAAAGACTGCCTTCTGCACGCGCGTCTGGCAATCAATGAGGCATGCCAAAACACGGGTTTGGGAGGGGGGAGCATATACATCTATATCTATATATATATACACATACATATATATATATATATGAATATATATTTATACATATATATATATATATATATTCAGGTTGAGTTGAATCTTCAGCCAGCCTTGAACCATAGCATATTTTCCAAGGCTCCTTTTTGGGGCTGCGTGTCTTTTCGAAAACTGTTCACCTTACGTCCCCCACCTGCCCTACCACCTCTGCCAGCTCCGGCGACGTGATCAGGTGGAAGATCAGCTTCTCGGGCCCTTGGATGACAACCACTTGCGGTTGCTTGTTGGGGGTTGATCAATAATATTCCCTTCGGCCCCCAAATGACCGAGGGTAGCTTTGCCCGTGTGGGAAATATCCGATCTTCGTCTGTCCCCATGGGAAACGTCAAATCTTGGTCTGTCCCCATGCGCGAATTTTCATCCCTTCGTGGTCTTCCAACCAATGGGCATCGGACTTTTTCACCAGCCCCCACCCATGAGCTGGGATCATGAAAACGATCCCAGAGGCCCGACCATCCCAAAGGTCCAACATCTTGACTCCAAACTTCAGTCTGTGCTGGTCAGCAAGTCCCACGGGATGTACCCACTTGGGGCTTAGGGGATACGCAACAAATCATCCAAGTGATCCATGCCGGTAGGAAGGACCCCTGTTTCCAGCTTGCTTCCCGCTCGTGGGAGAACCCATCCAACAACAAGGGAAAAAAGGGCGCTGAACAACCGGGCTGTCTTCCAGCACCCGGCCTCCCTCAGTGCAGAATCTGCTTTCATCGAGTGCCAAAAAGGAACGAATATGGCCACAAAAGGCTGCAATGGGTTGGGGATGCCCACAAAAATGTGGGGAATCTGGAGCTTTTCCTTCCAAATCGCTGGGAAACCATGTTTGAACTGTTTGCCCCGCAAACAAAGTGGTCTCTAAGAAGTGTCCAATTTGAATGTTCCAAAGGGGCACCCTTAGCTAGAATACACCTATGTTTCGTCTAAAAGTCTGCACGACCCGCGCCGAGCCGACGAGACATCGAAACCCAGCGCGCTGAGCCGTGCCCAGAGCTACGGCCAAAGTTCGCTTCGCATTTTGCAGGGTGGAGTTGATTGCTGCAGCCACCGGCCGCCAGTCGGTGTCGTCGCTGCAGAAGCACACGTGCACACCTTGGCAAGCGGAAAAGCGGCTGCGTCCAATTCAACCACTTGAAATGCCAATATGGATATCTTAGTGTGTCTTTTTGTGAGGGTACTCTGTTGTGATGGCTTAACGGGATTAGTCCCCTGCACAAATCTAGGCCCTTGGCCCGGTGCATATATGAAATCCAAGCCGCTATCTGTGAAGGCCATAGCTGGTGCCGGCTCCGAACTCCGCGAGCCCTTCGACGGGCTCTTGGCCGGGCTCGGCGACGTCTCTGGCCGGCGAGTGGTCGGCTCGGGCCGCGTGGGTGGCTCGGGCTGCGTGGTTGGCTCGGGCCGGCGCGTGGCTGGCTCGGGCCGTGTGGTCGCGTCAGCCGGCTGCTCCTGTCTTCAAGTTAGGTCTACCCAAAAGTGGCCGGTTTTCTGTTTTCTGTTTTGACACTGCAAAGAGCGCACCCATTCTCTTTTTGGATGGGAATGCCACTGACTTCCTGCGTGGCTTGGCCAAAACAAGGGTATATAAGTTTTGCTACTAAAATTGGCTTCCCAAATCGCCTAAAATCCAGGAACTGAGGGGGTTCGGCTGGGGAATCCCATTCTAACTTCCCTCGTTGCCAGGATTCTTGCAGAAATTGCCACCAACCCATAGAATTTGCTTCGCAGCTCCTCCTCCACACCTTCCACCTCGCCGACCGCAGTCCAGGACCCATTCCCGACTTCGGGCAAGCGGATGGGATCAGGCGAGCGCGGTCGGAAAGCCTCGAATCGATTGCCGGTGGCTATTGCCAGTTGATGCGGGTTGGCGGGAAACACTGGCACACACACAGATGGGTGTGTCTTGTTGTGAGGGTACCCCTTCTTTGTGGCGTTTCAATGAAGCCAAAACGAAGACCACCGTTTGAGTCCCCTAACGCAGACCAGAAGTTCCTCGGATAGACTAGCAAATCAAGTCAGAAAGGGGTCACGACTGAAGCCTCCGAACCCCAAGTGTATAAAACACCCGTGAGCAGTTGATGACCATCCCTGCCGAGCCCGAGTAAAGAGGTTCTTGACCATGGCACATCATGTCGGCTGTCATCTTGCATGTCACTTGCCAGCTCTCTCAGTATCAGGGCCTTCAATTTCACCTTTCTGGAGGCGTTGAAACGTCACGGTGATGCTTAAAGGAGACCTGTAGAGAACCCACCTCCAGGCAAACTACCGGAAAACCTTGTTGGGTTCATTCCCGAAACCCATCTTGATTCCCTGCTGTGATCACCGGCAACGTGAGAAACCGACAATGCTACAATTAGAAAACGATAGGAGCATACCCAAAACCGATGCCGACCTGGAAAGCCCTCTGGGGATACTCAACGTCGATACTCCAGTAGCGTTGTGCTGTGCACAAGTATGGGATTTGGTCCGTGGGACACTCACACCAATGTCCTTCCCAACTGAACCAGAGACTTCTGGATAATTTGCACTAGCTATGTGGAAGTTGTACCACTCCCCTGCAACTTTACAGGTCAAGTCCCTGCTTGGCCGCATTCAGCATTAAATGCTACTTAGCAAAAGCGGTTCAGACCACAGCTGGTGCAACAGCAGTACTTGGATGACGACATCACGTAGTAAGAGGATAATACCCTTGGCTAACGAGTCCCCTAACACAACTTATTGATGAGGGGATGTTAGCCACGTACTAAGTCTGGTGATCTGACCAGCCACAGTTGCTCTTTGCTCGTTCCCTGCTTGGTACCACTAGTTCACTTGCTCACTCTCAAAGGCCAATCAGTTGTTGTAGACGTGCTGGTGCTTGTATTGATTCTTTTCCTGACTTGTTGGGCATAGCCTTTGCCCCTTTTGCACCGTTCACGGTTCAGAAGCATCCCTTGGAGGAGCCTCCGGGGCCCCTAAGGTGGCCGGTCCTAATGCAGCTGGGGCTGCCTGGCTAAAGTGCAAGGTCACGCCGATGCCAGCGACAGCAGCAAGAATCAGCACACATTTCCTCGGCAGCCGAGTCGTAGGGTAGGTTGTAGCTGGTAAGAAAGACTTGGCAAGGCTACCAAGGCCTACTGGGGCTTAGGGACCCGAAATTTGTGCCATGCCACATATTGAGCCCGTCTGACTCCCCTTAAAGCATCCTGATTTCAGAGGGCCGCCTGCCATTCTGGAATCTTGGAAGCGGGAAAATGCAGCAAGACTCCTACGACCCCACAATCCCCCCGGGCTGAACAAGGTTCAGTGCGCTCGGCAATTACGCTGGCCAGATCTAGCCATCCCAAAACGAATATCGGAACTTAGGGCATGCAGCCACATCACCTGCTTTACAAGGGATCCTCATCAGCTGCGGGTGACTCTTTAACTGGCCCAAATGGTTCCTTCGAGCTACATCCTTTGAGGTCGCTACATGGTTGGTTTTCCGGCCTCCCTTGTCCACCCAAGAGGCATTGTCACTGTTTGGGAAACTCCGCCGGGACAAAAAACCCTTTGCTGGCGCCGAACAGAAAAGAAACAAGCAGGGAATCCTGGTGGTTGTCCAATCTTGTCACTTTCCTGTCCAACACTTTCCGGGGGTTCCTCACTTCCTGAGAGGACTGGCCAAAAACAAGTGCAAACTTTCTGTTTACCACTAGAAAGGTCCAAACCTCAAAAGTGACTACCTGGAGTCTCCATGACCCTTCAAAACGGGTCCACCCCTTTATGTTGGATGACCAACCACTTTTGAAGGGTCAGATTCGGAGACTCCAGGTACAGCAATGATCCAACCCCCAAAAGGTGACTACAACTCCATGAACTCAGGAAGCTTGTTGCGGGTATCCTGCTAAAAACTGCTCTAAAAGCGACAAAAGTGTGAGTCCCGGAACTCGCTCGGTGAGCGAGACATTCCCTAGGTCCTCCAGTAGGGAGGTTAGAATAAGGGTACCAACTTGTTTCTGCAGTCTATTGCAGTAGGGGACCCTGCCAACCAAAAAAGAAACGGTAAAAGGGCACCTAGCTGGGGGACCTAGCCACTAAACCAACTAAGAACCCGTCAAGAACTCGATCTTGATCTGAGGAAACCGAAAAAAAAGAGAGCAAACCACTGCTTTGGGCAGCTTTCCCCAGACACCGCCGAGACATGTCCATTTTCGAGGCGCAACACCCCCCGATCGAGGCGCAGCAGCAGCACCCGGAGGCCCCGGGCTGGCAGCTTCCGGCTCTTCCCCCGGCGGCAGGGCCGTGCCAGGAAGTGGAAGATGTCCTTCGCCCCCGGACATCGGCTGGAGGAGAAGAGTTTCTTAGACAACACGTCGAGGGGATGAAGAAACTCGTAGTGTTGCTATTTGTATATTGATTTGCGTGTTTGCTTATTATTGATGCGTTGCTGGTGTTATTGCTATAGTGTTTGTCTTAGTTGGTTTTCTTTTCTTCTTCTTGTTTTTTCTTTGGAGGGGGGGGGGGGGGCAGGGGGGCGGGGGGACAAACCAAGAAATGGGAGGCTTTAATCTCTTACTGTCAGCACGAGAGGCATTTGTTTGGAAGTGTAATCTAAACTTATGTTATTTTATCTTGTTTTTTTTTTTTTTTTGGGGGGGGGGGGGGGGGGGGGGGGGTGGGGAGAGGGCTTTAAGGGACACTTCTCCATTCTTTCTCGAGATCCTTCTTACGAACGAACGATGGTTGAAAAGAATGGGGAGTGAACTAAGCTAACATAAGAGAAACAAACACATGTTTGCGGACTTCTTCACCTAAGGAACTATTCTTTGGGAGGTTTCATCTCCTACTGTAAGCAGCTTTCTTCTTAAGAAAATCCAGTGGCTTAAGAGTCCGGCAATGGGGTTCGGAGCATTCAAGGCTTCCGAAGATTTCTGGTTTGGGGGCTGGGGTTCAAAGGCTAAAATCTATTGGATCAAGCTTTGGCTCACATCTGGGGTGCACAAAAAATCTGGACCGCCCCAGGCGGGTTTGTGGAGGCTTTTCTTTCCGGGGCTTTAAGGGAAAGCACCATCACACCGAAGCCAAGGTACAGGGGGCGCCTTTCCAAGCCCAGCACCCTGCTTTCGGACCGTTTGCCTGAAACTTAGGCCAAAAAGAAGTCTGGGGTACCAACAAAAACGGCTTCAACGGGCTTGCGACCCACTTGCCCATCGGCTTTGAAAACCATTGGCATCGCGTCACTGTCACCCGACCGGTCCGCGCAGGCCAACTTCAGCAAGTCGCATGAGGCCATAGCTTCGCGCGTCGCGCACCATAGCGAGATGAGACCCGAGGCTTCACTGGCTAAGGTAGGTTGGGACCCCGGTGATTTCTTGGTTCGTTGGTCGGGACCAGGCCAAAGAAAACAGCTTTTGGTGGGATATGTCATCAATCCATCTACCGCAAACAGCTCCAAGCCTAAGGGTGTGCAGCTGGAAACCGCCAAGATTTCATGGTGAGCAAGGGAAACCTGTAAACACAAGGGCGGGTGCTGGACACTTGCTTTTGCAACTTGGCATCCTGAGTTCCATGGCGAGAAGAGGTGATCTACTCCCAGTGATTCCGGTTGTAACCTGCTGTGACGCTCTGGGATCCACCAAAGACCTGTAGATTTTCACCAAAAAGCGCAAAGCGGGTGGTTGGAATCTAGGAATGAAGGGCAGCTTTAGAACCAGTGAGCCAGTTGATTTTTTATGGGAAGCTTTGCCCGAAATCTCGGGGGGCTTATGAACGTGTTGTAGTTGCATGGTGCTTTGTTTCTGCGCCATTTGGTTTCCAACGTTTGCCAACTGAGAGGCAAGCTTTGAGCATGTGCCATGCTGAAGCGAGCTTGGACACACCATGGCGTGATGTGGGTATGGGTCAAAATTAAACCACCAGGAATTGGACCGCAGGTTTTAGACCTTGGTTCCGTTTGCCAGGGCTCCATTTAGGGTACCTATTTTTGACCCACAGCCATATGATAAACGCTGTTTCAAGTGCTAAGGGCAACGATGTAACAACAACGTTGGCGCAGAAGCTGCGACCAAACCAAGCTGAAGCTGGTTGCAAACCTTGGCTTGGTTTCATGCGGGCCTTAAACTATGAGGGTAGCGCAGGACAAAGTTTCACTTTCTCCCGGTGCCTTTTGATCTTTCATGGATGCAGAGATCACCCCCACTGCTGAGGCCATACTTGGAGCTTGGGGAGGGGTCTTTGGGAGGTTTTGCCCCACAACCTTCCACTGGTTTCCTTGATTAGAACATTCGTTTGCTGGCACCTCCAGTCAAGTCCCAGCACAGGTCAACAAGAGCCCACCCCAAAAAAAACATATGCATGCCCCACAAACAGCGTGTTCCTCTAAAGTTCAACCGCTGATTCGGCCGAAACAAATCTCATCACCCAGCGAAGGAGCTGCCCTCCCCTCCAAAGGTGCTGGGGCGGTGTTCGGCTGTGAAATTGTCGATGGGCAAAATTCTGCATCAGATCTGAATGTTTCAACCATCCACAGTATGGAGGCTTGCCACTCCATAATGTAAAGCCAAAATGGGGGGGAGGGCATATCTTTGAGAATAGGGCCGTGTGCAAGTTTGAAGCTAATTCCAGCCAGGATTCTGGGAGCGAACTAGTAGCAGTTATTTGGTCCCGCGTTCACTTCCAATCGCACCTTGCACAGCCCATAGCCGGGTCTTACATTTTCTGCAATCTCCCCCCTAGGCTGGAATTAGGACCCCATCAAAAAATATATTTGCTGCCTGGTTAGTGGAAAACAAAGGGACCCCCAAAAAGCAACAAAAAACAAAGGGGAGCTAATTCTGGGGAAGTGTAAGGTAGCCACCCAGCGCTTACATCCCTTGCGCCAACAAAGGAACGCTGCAGGCCACACGCCGCTCAGCTACACATTGCATGGGAGGTGTGGCAGTACTCGTCATCCAGCGACGGCACGGGACAAGCCTATCCTCAAGTCAAGTGCCATCAAGACAGATAAGATAGAGCATCAAACCTTGGTTGCTGTTGACCCCCCTGCAAACAGTTTAACTTTTTGGGGGTTTAGTGCAAAACCCCTTCATTTCCCAAAAAGTTAAAGTCTAAAGATCCAACCCAATAGCAGTTAAGAAACCACTGTTCCAGCTTTGGATTGTAAGTTTACCCCTGCTCAATGAACCCTGGCACCTCCTTCCCCCGCTTCATCAAACAAGGCGTCCCCCTTGTCTGATGAAAGGAAATCGCACAACAATCTCAACCCCCACCTCCCACCTCCCTTTGGATACTGCATCTACCCAGCTGCTGCAATTCCAATTCGATATTTTTCGTCGTGACAGCAGCCGCATTAGACGTTCTGCGTGGCATTGTGCCGGGACGCCGCGAAGAGAAATCGTGCTGCTAGAGGGCAAGCCGGGCGCGAGAGAAACCATCGGCAAACTCGGCGGATGAAACATTTCCGCTTGTGGTTGCAGCATTTCCTTTTGGCCCCTAAAGTGAGCTGCCTTTGCACCCCGAACCCAAAGAGAAAGGGATCTAGAGGGTGCCACTACGCAAATTCGAACATAAAGGGTCCTGAAGCTCCTCCCAAGGCCCCGAGGCCCCCAGTCCAGGGACATCGTAGGATGGTTCCAAGGCCCGTGCTGGCCTGCTGGTCGGGGTCGCCCTCTGCGTAGGATCTACACTAAGTGGAGGTAAGAACATGGCGCACCGCCAGCGCCAAAGAACCCTCAGCCCCGTCGGACAACTGTCCCATTCTAGTACAAGCGGACAAAATCCCAGGCTGACTGTCAGTGGAGCACAGGGCAATCCCATGAGGGGACTTGATCACTTGATACTTGGGGATATTCGCCTTTAAGTGGGGCGGTCATTTAAGTCGGGACCCCTGGCCCATTTTCACCCGAAACCAATGAACAACAGGGGCCATATTCCAGGTTTGACATATGCCCAAATAGTACCTCCCAAACAACCAGCACACACGGACCGTGGAAAGAATGCAAACCATTCCAGTAGCAACAGGGGGAACTAAAACATATTCTTAAGCAAATGGAAGAAACTGCTCAGTTAATTACTCTGCACGCGGGTTTCGTTGGCCAGAAATCGAATCACGCCCGAGCGCTTGCTTGCCCCTGAACTAAGGATGGTGAAACAGTGGGGCGCTCAGCGGCCCAGAAAAACTATGGTCATCGTCGCCCCCCTGCGAAGCAAAGACCTCAAAACAAGCGAGGCGCACTTCTTTCGCATCAGGCAGGGGCCTAAAACTGACAAAGGCACCAAGAATGAAAGCACGAAACTTCAACCTGTTTGTTTTGGAGGTATTCTTAAGGTTCGGGAATTGCGTTCGGCCCAGCAAAAACACCGCAGCAAACCGCGGCTGCCGCCCAAGTCTCTCCAACCCAAAACCTGGGGGGTGACTGAGGGAAGGGGAGGTCGAGCCGCCCTAGGCTCAGAGGATGGCGCAAAAACACCTCGGCAGCGCCACTCGCGCGCGAGGCCTCTGAGGGGGAGGCAGTGGGGGGTCCCATTCCATTTATTCAGTCCCAAGAAAAGGGAAAATGGGTTACCACAAATGGAATTCCAGGGGTCAACCCCCTCCCCCAATTCCATTTTGAAGGGTGATCCCCGGGACCCTTGTCATCAGGAACTGGGAGCGAACAGGGTCGGCCATACTGTGGATGGCTGCGAAATCCATTTCGCACCACCTGAGAAACAGGGGAATCCTGATTCCCTGGTAAATAATTACCAACCACAAATGGCTTCCTATGGTTTCAAAGTGGTGCAGGATTTCGTCCATCCACAGTATTAACACTTCCTAAGCCGTAGTGGGTTGGCAAGAAGTAGTGTTCTTCACCCGGCTGAATTGAACAAACTCAGATTGCACAAGCACTAAACACGCATACCAAGAATCGTAGCATAGAAACCTGCATACAACATGTGGGCGCATCCTTTCCAGGGGACCCACCAAAAATGGAGGTCGCACCTACAAAGAATGACACCCCCACATTCCATCAACCAAGACGTCCCTCAGGAACCTTCATAGGTGTGGGTCAGATCGGTCCCACGTGCGCCTCGGTTCAGTGGGGATTTCCCAAAAGCCCCCCGACTCGGAACGTGACCATGCAGGGGCTTCCTGGGGGCATCTGAGTGCCTGGGACGTTCCGAGGGAGCAAGGCACCGCGTTTGAAAAAACTCTGCCGAGAGAGGTCGAGAGTTCGAATGGGCTGTGGAGGTGTGTTAAACCAAATTGCCTCATGACCGTACAGGGTGTGTGGTTTGCTTGGCCCCCTATTTCATCAAAGTGGCATCCTCACAATGCCCCTTCGAAGGGTCCTTCTTTTTTCAACAGTCTTGGAAACCAATCAACTCCCAGCAAGTCGGCGTTTCTCAAAATTGTCGGTTTCCTGAAAGCTTCCCTCTTTCAACCCAAAGAGGTCCAACATTTTGAGACAGCCCGTCTGCTGACCCCAAGGCCACCAAAAAAAAACCGCGTGCAGACACGCGTTTCTGCGCCTGCCCGCCTGCGCGGCGCAAGCCACCCGCATTTCTGGGCCGCCCCAGCTGTGATGACTTGGCGGCATTCTCAGTGTTGGGCTCTGGCTTCTCGGAGTTGGCGTCCTTTTGGACCTCGTTCGGAGCATCGTAGGGGTCCGAGTCCAACCCTCCGACCGTCCGACCCCCCCCCCCGACCTTCGGGGAGAAAATCCCGGGGGCCAAGCTAGCGGTCGCTGGTATGTTGTTGCTTTGCCTTTCAGGGCCAGGGTTAGGGCTTGATTGTGTAAACAAACTTACCCTGAAACTGATCCGCCGCAAGTCGGATATCAGCTTCTCCCCCAAGCGTGGGTTGATCAGCAGAAAGCACCCTCGTTTGGCCGAATTGCTGCATTGCGCCTTTCAAGGTTCTAACCTTCATTACAAGCACTCGTTGCTCGAGTTTAAGCGGTATGGTTTCATAGCATCCCACACCCCACAAAGATCGCAGGGTGAAGGGATCTCTTTCACGAGTGGACTTGCTCGCTCGCCCCTAGAAAGGAAGCCCTTTTCGGGTTTGACCATCCTTGAGGCCAAGCAAAAGGGATCAAGAAATGAAGCTGATGAGGATGGTCCACTCCTGCAACTGTTCCAAGGAGAAACCCTGCTTCGAGGGGAACAAGTTTCTCACTTGAAGGGTGGTCTGCTTGTTTCGTTCTTGGGCAATCAGTGCTTCCAGGCGTTTCGCCAATGGTTTTCCAAGGCATCTTACCAGGTTACCATGGTTTCCCCTGGCTACCCATGGTGGCAACAAAATTACTTGTTGCCCTAAATGGGCATGAAACTTAGGCGGTCTCCTACCGTGGATGGACGAAAT